ATAATAATAATAATAATAATAATAATAATAATAATAATAATAATAATAATAATAATTACCAAAAGGTATTGGTAACTGAATTTAAAAATGTACATACCATCCGATTTTCCAAAATAATGGGCAAGTTCGGAATCACTGAGAACAGTTTGAACCTGTTAAAAAAATAACAAGTATGTTTGTAAAAACATGATGAAAACAAATATATTTATTTACAATTTATATTAATTCTTAAAATAATGTAGAACGTACACTTTATAAAGATGTTATGCATGTATGCCTATTGGTTTAATGGACGGAAGAAGTTTCTTTTTGATAAGTGATCATTGATAGTGACGTACTGAAAATGGGTGGAATCAGTTTTAAGTTAACAAACTTAAGAGAATGACTTATTTTTTTTGTAGGAGCTAAACATGCTTTGTAGATACTGTATGCTTATTTTTTTTGGACATTTTGGACCAAAAATATACAATATTAACAAATTTACAAAAGTGGGTTACCTTAATCCGTGAACATGTATTGTACTAAAAAAAACCTAAAAAAACACTATGAAAATACTTAAACTATACAAAATTACTGTACAAACAGCAATTAATCATACTTATTATATTTTACAGTACCATCCACTCCCTCCCCCCCCAAAAGAACCCCCCAAAAAACAATTCCACATCACATATCCTTTTATTTAATCAAAGGTAAATCAGTTGAAAGAGAGAAAAACTTATACCTCCTGTGAAATCATTGATGAAATTGGACGGAAGTGGTGGGCTTTAAACACTGAAATTCTTTACGTCCATATTTATCAGGTAACTTAATCATTCCTATTGTTAACGATTTAGCCTTCAGTTTGGTGTATCTCATCTTAACCTACTTTGCTTGAGTAACAGCCATAGCATGCCCATTTTGATCCCGTCTATTCAATTTAACCACACAGAACAAAGAGGCAAAGTATAATAGGTACAGGAGGCACAAGGTACGGAACCCAAATTTTATACAAATCAATGACAAAAGGGTTAACAATATGACAAATCATAGAGACATATTTCAACGTAAAGTTATGGGAACTTGCACCAATACTTTCCAGAGACTCAAAAATGTTCAATGTTTTCTATTGACAATTGGCTCCGCCCTTCATCATCTACTCATAGGCCTAGTACTTAAAATTTATTTTTTTTTTTTTAAAGAAATGAGTTAATACAATCTTATAGATCTTTGTGTCTAAAGATACGAGTGTATTATTAACACTCATTATTGATCAAAGCACTTTTACTGGTCATGAATGGGGCAAATGAGAAAGAACTATACATGCCGCTCACTCATAACACAATATTTAGATATAAAGCCTAATATTCGACGAATTACACATAGGCTTTATATGTGCTATGCACGGCATTGAACACTGACTAAACATCCTTATTAAAATTGAATATAGGCCCATTCCTCTAAACTAGAGAAAGGCCTCATAATAAGCGTAATTAGTATTTAAACCGTGTGACTGTTTCCAACTCCGTATTCAAGACAGTTTAAGCTCGGATAAAGTCTATGCCTAGCAACTAACTATAGGGCTAATCCTGTCTTTACGTAGGTCATTCTTTACGTATTATAATAATCTTTCACGCCTTCACGTGTTCCGAGTGCTCCTGTAACAAAAGTGTACGTTCAAACATGGAGTTATAATTATTTTGATAATTATAACTCCATGGTTCAAATAAGCAAATTCACTGCTCTTTATAACCAACTGTAGGAAAGAACCAGTGAAGCTTAGGCTATTTGATCATTTAGTATGACGGTACCAGGCCGCGCCCGCTTAGATCACGATGGCGGTCGATGACAGAACCATCGCTATTCGACTGTAAGAATGACAATAGGAACACTAACAATAGGACCACCAAGTGCCATTACGGAAGTGTATACACCCTCAAAAGACTGAGCCAGAATTGAAATCGAGGTTTTGACACTCCCTGAAATAGTCATATTTGGTGGGCTTTTGTGTTTGCATGACTGGGGATTTAATGGGCATTCCACAGTCAAAATGCAGTAAACTAGTTACAAATGAGGTATATAACAAGTTTTTGCTACGCTAAAAAGACAATTTTCATCAAATAGGAATATCAAAAAGATAAAAGGCATGCCTATTAGATAATGAAGTGTCATAAACAGTGTGTCCAAAACCATTGTATCACCAAATTCACATTTTATTTTTAGTTGTTAACTCGCTTTTGTGACGGTTTAGATGGAAACTGATAGGCTTTGCATAAAACAATAACTCATTCATAATCAGTGTTTAATAGATGCTGAAATTCAGACCATAGTAATCATCCTGAAGGCCTGATTAGTTTGCTTTGAAACAACTTCTTCTAGAAAATCAACATTTGAAACTGAATCACGGTTGGACTGCCAACGCCCATCTGCGTCACCTATTAGACACTGTACTGGTTGTTTGAATGGCGGATTTATTTACAAAATGTCTATGTAATTATCATAGAATATTATGCATTGCTGTTTTTACTGCAAACATGATAACATGGTATCACCATTTTACAAAAATTACAGGTAGGATTTTCTACAAACAGTTTGAGTATCCTTTTCAGCTAGAGTCGTATAGCCTAATAATACGTAATATTGCAGCATTATATTGCAGCACTTCAACTTTCAAATAGCCCTGGTTTCATAATATGAACACACACATACACACCATTAAAGAAATTTTCTTAATCCAAGGCCCTTGTCCTTCGCCGTCCCACTGTCAATTACCACGTGTAGCCTAAACGTTGAAAATCAAAACTTTCACTTTGTAACCACAACCGTCTAGAGTTTTTAAACTGACGTATAGATAGAAACTACTCCATTAGAAAATACCAAAACAACATTTTCTTCAAAATATAAAGAGTTGAATGGCTCTCAGAGGGTCAGTTGCGATAGGCCAATATATCTAAGGGCTATCATCTCCAATTGGTCAAATACATAAACTCAAACGGAACTATAACTCCAGACAAGAAATTTTCATAGCATCAACGAACGAAACGTTTGCATACTGCAATTATACATTATATTATTAAATGAATATTTATTTATTTATTGCTTACCGGTGAACAGTTTCCTCGTAATATAAGGCCGCAAAAGAGCACAAAAAGCGCCAACATTGATGTATCTTTCTCCATGATCAAACGACTAACTGATGCCGGTCGTCAGTCGTACTCTTCACAAATACTAAAACATTGGCATTCATATTGAAATTAGCCAAGAAGTTATTGTACCCAATTCACGGATCGTTACACCCATTTCTCCAATGCAGCGGTGTGCGTCGGTCCAGGTTGTAACACCAATGTGCTTATTGACAGAGAAGATGCACTCAAGCATAGAGATACAAAGAAAGAATATTACAATCATACATATAGTATTCTAATAATCAATTGCCATAACTGACAGTAGAGTTGACATTAATATTTACAACGCACCAACAATATAGACCCTAAGTATATAATAGGCTTAATAATAATGGTAATAAAAATAAGGCCTAATAATAATATAATGGGATGATAATATTAACAAAAATAATGATAACGGTATGATAATGATAGCGATGTTGATGAATTTATTTCATCCAACAAGAGAATGGAATACATGGAAAAATGGCAATACAATGAATGGAATTACAAAACAAATTTATTCATTCATTCATTCAATCCCATCCCCTGGTGGAGTTATTGAGGAATAAATGATGATGACTTTACAATGTCCCGGAACTGGTCACGGTCGTGCACTACCCTCCCTGGATCTGGAAAATGGAAACCCTTCCCACTCTCGGTTATTTCATCCCATCTTTTACTCAGCCTTCCCCTTCCTTGGACTGTGCCAATTGCAACATGCATGAGATCTGGTTATGTGTCCGTACCACTTCAGGTTTCTTTCCTTGACAGTTCAGCAACTCTTTTTATGCGGTTCAATGGCACTTGTTATACCAGGGAACAGTTTCTATAATTTCCTTGTTTGTGATGTCATAGCCGTCGGAAGCATTTTGCAAGTGGTCTGGCCAATATAGTAAGAGCGGGTGGGTTGGGCAATAATTTGGTTGTTAAATTGACTCGCTACCCCTATCCACGGATATAGGATTTTAAAGTTAGTGAGGTCTGAGCACTCCCACCCCAGCCCGCACCATGGTTGGGGCTGAGGCGCGAATTTTTGGAAATATGGCACCTCTGGATTGGCGGAAATAGTGACCAAATCACATTTCGTAGGCCTATTGTAAATCAATGTAGGTATATTGCGAATTAAATGATAACTTGTTCAAAATTCAATTTCTTATCACATAATGATACAATCAATAACATCGTGCAGGGTATTGTGAAATATAAACAATAAAAAATTAAATAAATCATGTGTTATTCATTCATTCATTCTTTTATTTAGTAAATTATCCATATATACATAAACAAGAAAAAAATAAATCAGCAAAAGATGTTGAAATAACCTAAACAGACAATTATGCAATCACAAGACATCGTCTATCTCAAAATACGATTCCATTTACAGTACATGTTAGATTCTCGTATATTTTCCAACAACAGTGTCGAACTACATTTTTTTTACTCGTATTATTTCTACACATAAATCCATATATAGATTTCCTAAGAAATTCTACTCTCGATAAACATATTGCTGGCACTACAATGTCTAGGCTTTTGCAAGAGCATTCTAAGCGCATTATTGTAGCAAACTTGAAGAGATCGCAAGGTACTCAGATTATAGTTACATGTCTAACACCATTCGAAACATAAAAGAAGTCAGGAAACGATTTTCCCCATTTCACAAATCTTTGAGTATTATATTATGAATACACAATGATGCAATATGCTATGCATTTGGAAATAAGCCTACAAATTAATGAGTACTGTAGAATTTCGAGAGGTCTGAAGCATTATTAATTAATTTTTACACTCTAGATGAAGTGTACTATCACTTGAATTGTTAAACGTAGTCAATTAGGTCCTGTCTTCGCTTTTGCTAGGCCTTATACCCTGTCTCTTATACACATCTAGATGTGTATAAGAGACAGGTATTGTCGTGTGTATCAGTTCCTAATCATGGAATTTTTTTTCTAGTGTACTTTCATATAGAATTCAAATCCATACCATAAACATCACCTTGACTTCTAAGTCGTTACTCTACTCACTATGCTGTATCTGTCATATCACTGGGGTTTTGAACACTACACAACTTTGTTCGTTTTAATTACATTTGCAACTAACTATTTCTAACTAAAATGTACATTTAGTAGGCCTGTGTATGTAATTAATTTTATTTAATTTTTCTTTAACTTTACAGGTTCTCGCTTCCCAGTGGTAGACAAGAGTCATAAAGACGCTTAATTATTGTATTTAAAGTTCGCACCAAGTTGAACAGGGCTACAGTTTACACATACACAATCCTTTGTTGGAACTTAAGTGGTGATGTCTTTATTTTGTTTTGTATTTCCTTCATGTATTTTACTTGCGAAGGAACAACCCATACATCAAAGGAATTCTTTATTTTGTAAAACAATTCTGTTTCTCACAGTTTTATTGTGGACAAGGAACTTGTGAACAAAAGTGTCTCAGTTGAACGTGTAAACATCAGTTATAATTATTCCAAAAATAATAAAACATCTAAAAGTAATGACTTTCTCTAGTTTTAAATTACAAAATAATTGTTTAAGTAATAAGTAATTATTTGATATCTAATAATTAATAGATGCTTCTGATGATTTTATATTTCTTGGCGTCCACTTAACTAAAGTAAGTAGGTTCAGAGGCGTTGTTCAACACACAGCAGTTGCGTTTCGGTTTGGGGTTCGAATACTCGATATGAATTTTGCTTGTTTCCTTGACCATTAGGCCTACTTATGTTTGTCTCTCTCTCACTCCTCACCCAACAGTGATCAAAGCAAAGATAATAAACCGTAATGACAGGCCTATTGTTAAATCCATTTAATATTATTTTTTAGCAAGACACTACAATCTTAGAAACTTTCCTCTTTCTCCGTTCAATAATATAACTCGGCATTTGTTGCTACACCATGTGAAATCGAATAGACCTCTTTCGATTTTTACAATAGCTCTGAAAACCAGAAGGCTTCGTCCCCTGAACATCAACTATAAGTACTTTCTAGCACCGACATTTGTAATTGAGAACAGTTTCATGACGATATAAATACGATTGAAATTTGACTAATTTTGAGGGGAAAAAACCAGATTAAACAGTGGCAATCCTCTATAATGTTGCTTTATCACCTACCGGTAGGCCTACTGTATCTTGTTTTGAAGCTTATTCATGGGAAAGGGCGGTTTTATAATCATAATTGGGACTAATATTTTACCAATGCTAAAAAAAGGAAATCCCAGAATAATAAATAACGCATCTCATGTAATTTTGCACTTTCGCCTAGTTTGTGTTTCATGCATAATCATGAAAAAGGGGTAAATATTGTGGAAACAGCAGGTACCAACGAATGGATGAGTAAGCACAAGAAATTTGCTGCCTGACTTGACTTAATATCCATTATACACATTTGCTACCTTTAAACAGTTTTGTGAATAGGCATGTCGCCGGTCACCTCTTAAATGGCTTTACCTAACGTACCTGGTACTAATGGTTTTTGCTATAATTCCATTCACACAAAATGAAAACCACATACTAGGTTTTCTGCCTTGCGTGGAAGAATGTTAATTGTGAATGATGAATCACCTACATCAGTGATAAAATAAGATAGGCCTAGACCTAATATTTTTTTTAATGAAAAAGACGAATACGGTAAGCCTGGCATATACGGTAGTAAAACAGATGTTATAATTCACCTTAAATAATTATTTTATTTTGAAATCTACAGATCTATCTATTATTTCTCTTTATCTATTTGATTTGTATATACAAAATAGTTAAATGATAGAAATATAGTATTCAAGTTAATTTGTTCCTAACACACTTACCATAGGCATAGCTCTTCAACAAGAATTAGAGAGTTCATTATCAAGTGGACTCTGTTTACAATATAACACATTTAGCTATTATGTTAATAGACTTACTAGTGTTGTCCGAAACCTCTGTTTCTGGCTATTTACTTAGGCCATGCTTACGTCTGCTTATTACATTTTTATCTCTACTGAGATGCAGTCATGTTTCCCACAGCATTGTTTTTTTTTTTAAATTATTTTGCCTGTATATGCAACGACTGAATAGTAAGCCTAAATCTAAATTAGTGGGCTACTATGAGGGCTGATAGTTTATATGAATTTCTGTTCTAGATTCTTTCTAATATTTTCAAATCCATTACATAAAACAACTCAAGTCATTCCTATGTCAGAGGCATTATGGTTAAGTTAAAAATGACTGGCAATAGGAAGGCCAGGAATGATTAATCTGATAGATCTTAAATGCTCCGTAAAACGGTCAGCCATACTAGGCATTTTGGTCTCACCAATATAAATCAGATCACATTTGATACATAATATGGCATATATTATATTATTACTAGTACAAATATAATTGTCTTTTATGACATGATTGTCAATGGGACCATTTACGGTACCAATACAGAGGACATGTTGTCATGTTTTGTATCTAGGTCGGTTGCAAGGCATCCAGTTTTGGTAGCGAAGAGTGGTGCCAAGTTAGCTATCACGATGTTTTTGTCCGACGGTAAGAGTACAGAGGTAGATTTAAGGAACATGGTTTTAGTAGCATCATCAGGCTGAAGCAGGGGCGGATTTAGAGAGGGGGGGGCGCCTGCGACGGTCCCCCCCCTTTTATAATTTTTTTTTTTTAGATAATTGAATGGATACTCAATTCCATAGAAGGTTGATTCTGTCACATCGCGCCATGCATAGCTACAAAGAAAGTTTAAGCGCAGATGCACCAGCATGGAAACTTTCGTGCAATCAATCACTCTCTATCGAGGTCAGCAGGTATGTGCTGTCAGACAACCCCATGCACAGTGACCACAGTACACTGATCTCCATTGACGACACCCCATTGTTTGACACTTTTGACGGGTAAGTTTTACTTCCTTATTGTTTTCAAGTACAGTACCTGGTTTAATCATCATTGTGTAATTTACAAGATATACTGTATGAAATTGTATAATCCTGTTGTCTCTAACTGACATGAAACAAAGTAGGCCTCGTACGCCCCACCCCGCCCCCCACTATGTTTTGCAA